CAGTGATGTCAGTGCTATTATGCTGGTATTTTCCACAATCCTCCTATTTTGTAGTTAATATTACATTCAATGCATAATTCTTTGTCTTTCTCTGGTTGCTTCAAGGTGATGACACAATGACAGGTGATGGAGGAGAATACCTAAGGCCCGAGGATCTGAAAGAGCTGGGTGATGACTCTCTACCCAGCAGCCAGTTCCTGGATGGTATGAATTACCTGCGATACAGCTTGGAGGGAGCCCGCTCAGACAGGTATTCACCTAAAGCTTACATTTGATGTCAGCTAGGAGGGAATGCAACACTTTTTTCGTGATAATAATAAAAAAGTAGACATAATTATTGATACCTAAACAGGGACTGCACATAACAACTCTGAGCATGTTACCTTACTGTGTTCTTGAACAGCTTTTTTTTTAAGTTTATTTATTATTTGAAAGAGAGTGAGAGAGAGCAGAGGAGAGGGAGAGAGAAAGGGGGAGAGAGAGAATCCTAAGCAGGTTCTGTGCTGACAGCACTGAGCCCAATGCAGGGCTCCATCTCATGAACTGTGAAATCAGCTCATGACCTGAGCTAAAATCAAGAGTCAGAGGCACCCAGGCACACCCCTTGAGCAACTTTAAGTGCCTATTTTAAAGAACAGGAAACTGAGTCGAAAGAGATTAAGTTACTTAGTAAAAGTCAAACGACCAGTAAAAAGCAGAGAAATGATAAGTAAAGAAATCTCTACTTTTCAATGTAGTGTTTTAATTATTTGCCACTTTTTTCTCTAGGCAAATAAAAAGGCCCGTTTTACCTTATGGACAGGCTAACTACGTGGCAATTACAGGCACATGCAGTTTCCTTGAGTGTTTTTGTTAGTGCCATAATTTCTGTGAATAGAAGTATGTTGTGAAGAAGGACTAAAAAGAAGTAAATTCAAAAGGAACCTGTGCCTGAAACTGACTTCTTCATGAAAAATAACGAGACCACAGTCCTCCAAGAACTTGAATACAAAAAGCAATCTGAGAAAAATATGAAGGAGCATAGGTTTTGTAGACAAATCTGAAGAGGTTCATATAATACCCTGAAGTATAAAATCAGTGTTCTTTTCTGACTGTTACTTACTAGCATAACTGGTGTTGGTTATTTTTTGAGGCAAGCAGAAGAACATTCCATGGTACCTCATCAAAAGAATGACTGCCAATTTAGGTTAAGCATATGGTTGTCCACATAGCGTGTTTTTCACTAATCAATAATCTTAGGTTTGTAGTTTTAATCTTGGCTGTTTGCTAAGCTATAGTTAACATATACGGAGTCTAAGAAATAGACATTTTAAAGTTCATTTTTTTAAATGTTTGTTTATTTTGAGAGAGAGAGAATGAGTGGGGAAGGGGCAGAGAGAGAGAGAGAGAGAGAGAGAGAGTGAGTGTCCCAGGCAGGCTCCATGCTGTCAGCACAGAGCCGTATGTAGGGCTTGATCTCAACAAACCATGAGATCATGACCTCAGCCGAAATCGAGAGTTGGACGCTTAACTGACTGAGTCACTCAGGTGCCCCTAGGAAATAAATACTTTAAAACGTAGTCAATTCTAAATGGATAATTAGCAAAAACAAGTTTTCTTGGGGGTTTTTCCTTGAGCATCAATGCCTCCTCCCTATTTTTTCTCTTTTTCTTAAACAATTCAATGTGCATGTAGTGAGTGCCTTTCTGGGCTGGCTTTGTGGTGGTTGCTAGAGGTACAAACATGACTAGGACACAATTGCTAAAATCATAGTCGAATGGGATGTGAGAGAGACTGGGCTGTAGTACCCACAGAATGCAATTGAAACCCCAGCGCTCAGGCTTCCTGGAGGAGATGAGCCCAAACTGAAACACAGTGATGGCTAATGATGGTGAAGAAGAGTGGGAAAGGCATTTGAAGCCTTAATGAGATCATGAGCAAAGGCCCATGGTGTGTGAGAGAAAGAGTATAGTGCAGTGTTGCTAGAGTATAAGTGTGAAGGAGGGGAGATCTTGTCTACATTTTGGGTGGATCCCTCTGACTGTGAGATTAAGGGTGAATTTTAGGGAGAAGTTATCAAAGGGCTAAACCTGGCAGTTGGGACCACCTGAAAAACTATTGCAGTAATATTAATTGAAGCTGTTAAGAGAAGATTTGAACTTTAACCCTGGTGGTAGTGATCATGGAGAGAAATTGGGAAATGACAAATTCAAATTTGTCATAGATAGAGCCTATCCATGAGGTGAAACTAGCCAGATTTGGTGACGGATTTCACGGAGTGGGTGAAGAAGAGGAAGAAGATTAGACTGACCCCTTGGCTTCAATGACATAGATAGAGGGTGGTCCATGGGGTCAAGAGGCAGAAGGAGGAGCACTCAGGGACGAGAGTGGGAATGCTCATGATGGAGCCAGTGTTTTATAATTGGATTCTGACGTCCTGGTAGATTGGGACATCACAATCTGAAGTTTCTTAATAAAAGACTTGAGATTTCAAAAAAAATAAAATAAAATGTTTATGGCTTTGCACAGATTCATAATAATCTATACATAATCATCACTGTCAGAGGAAAAAAAACCTTTATTTTAAGCCTGTTCTATTTTACTAAGAATAAATTCTTAATCTGATTCTTTTTCTTTCTTTGAAAGTACCAGGTTAAGAAAAATTTGGAACAATACTATCTATAAAACAGGGGTCAAAGGTTTAATGATTCCTCTTAAACTGAACACTTATCAGCATTTAAGATGAGGCAATAAAATGAATACGTCATGGTCAGTTCTCTAGGTCCACACTTGCATTTATGGGACCCCAGATTGTATTCATGATCTCCAACATGGAATTATAGGCAACATCTCATTTTCATGGAATTCTTGTTTCACTGATTTTGTTTTTTAATTTTGCTTAGGCAGCTAAGTGGAAATTTTCTTTCTTTTTTTTTTTTTTTGTAACCATTTTTACTTTTCATTATTTATTTGGTATGCTTTCAATAGCACCATGCCCAGGTAGGTATTAAATAGCATGAAAACATGATCCTCCTGGATACATCCACATTTCCTTGCTCACTTTTCGTGTGTGTGTGTGTGTGTGTGTGTGTGTGTGGGCAAGGGGTGCTTATATTCTAGAATTATGGATTTATTCTCAAATTAGAATTTTGATGTATTGAATAACTAAGCTACAAGGGTAAATATATTACTAGAATAAAAGTCTATGACATGCCCCTGGTATGATTTTGTGTTAACATCACAGCTCCACCTTGTGGCTGATAAAACATTAGCATGGCTTCTCCAAAGGAACCTAGTCAGCCTTGTGTGTAGTTGAAAATGGTAGAAAAACGATTCTGATGCCTAAAATGTACCTGGATGCAGGAGAACAAAAATAAGTACAATTTAATGTACATTCCTAAAAATATATCCAAATTCTGATTAGATGTTGTGTCCATAGTATTATTGTTTTAAATTAAAAATGCCATTTAAATTTAATGTAAAACACTAAGTAACAATGAACCACGGAAGCTTTTACAGACAATAAAGCACATAAAGCGTAAACATTTTTGGATATTCACTTGTTCAGTAGGGTTGAAAAACTTCATTAATTGACTAATAGTACAGCATACTAAGATAGTAATTATTACATTTTTCAGTGAAATTACAGACTTTGATACTACCTATTGTGTCCATAAAGTAGTTTACTATAGTGGGAAAAAGTATAATTTTAAGACCATAACAGAACTTTTGGCACAATCCCTAGCTGAACAGCAAGTAAAAATTCACACTTCTATGGATACGTGTTATTTTGACCTTATTAACTGAATGGCATGATCTCTGAGTTTATGACAAAAATGAATTGTAAAACATTTAAACGTGTTTGTAATGTTTTCAGTCAGGGTAGAGACTTGAATTATTCCAGACATTTGTGCTGGTCATTATTTCACTAGAATAACTTCTCCACTGTTGGAATATTCTAATTTTATTTATTTAAGTAAATTCTATATATCAGAGACAAGAGCAGTTAGAAACTATAAACATTGATTGAATACCCAGTTAGCATTTTAGAAGGCAGCAAACAGTAAGACAGAATAAAATCATAGAGATATTTGGGCCTCGTTCTCACTCATTCATTCTCCCTCCCTCTGTCTCTCCAACTTTTCTTACTCTCTGTTTCCATATGCTAATATTTTTCTCTCTCTACCCTAATCTCATCTTTGGTTGTAAGTCAACTGTATCTCTTTTGTTTTTTTCTTTCTCCTTCTGTATTTCTTTTCTGTTGAGGCTTTAGGAAAGATAAACAAAACAAAACAAAAAACACCAGTACTCTTTTGGCCCTCTGATTCAAACCAGTTAAGAGATAGACCCAGGTATCAAGTAGATAGATATCAAAACAATCCACCTTTATTACTGATGCGTAGATTGCAAAATGCAGCTCTGTACTTGCAGCCGAATGAGTTCTTTAAGACTTCATTCCCCAGCAGACAGACATCCACCGAGTTATAGGATCACCCTGAGTGTGGCAATTGAGACCCAACTGCCTTCTTTCAAAGTTCAGACCTTTATAGTGATGGCAGTTATGCCACTAGGTCTTATTTCATGTACCTTTATTGCCAGTTTATTCCCATCCAAGCTAAATTTCCACTTTCTCTTTGAGACCTGTGTTTCCGCTATTCCAGTGTCGCGTTTAGGAGTCAATTCTACCTACTGCCAGAGTCTCTACTCGCTGTTGTGAGCAGGCATGTCTAATCCTGTACCTCAATGCCTCTTGCTCCTTGTGCACTATTCATTCATATAGATCTAGCACATTTACATGTGTAAAGTTACAACTTGGAGCTCTGAATTCTAAAGCCATGGATAGAGCTAATGTAATTAACAAATCTGAGCCGGGTAAGAACCTGACAGGGGAAGATGGTTGACCCTATAGACAGACCTATCATTTCAGGAAGCTGATCCTTCACACCTCCTTTTTCCCTTCTCTTGGCCAAATTCAAAACAAAATAAAGCAAAGTAGAATTAAGACCTACATATCTCTTGCTGCCTGGTACAAAACATATACAAGTGGATCTTAGCTATCTTCATGATTTAAAGCAGGGAAAAAAAAATTTACTCAGCAGTTGAGACGAGCTTTTGCTGAGATTACAGATCCTTTCCCCCAATAATTTAATCTCTTTTCATCCTCAAATTCAAGGTTAGGCCAAAGTTAATCATAGTAGCCTGAAGCCTGTTTGTGAAGTACACCATCGAAATCCCAACTGCACAACTGTAAAACCAGCCCCAATATGAGCTGCCAGGACTAAAACCCCTATGGATGGGCTCACTAAGGTGTCTGGGCTGCTCCTGCCTTTGCTGTGTCTGGAGCCTGAATCTTCGAGAGCCTATATAACACAAAATAGTGAATTCCCAAATTAGATTTCTTTGTATTATAAACACACATTTATATAGGATCTGACAATCGGCCGCTTTGCTTCACATCACTTTACCCTCTGATATTCCAGGTCTATTTTAGGGGCATAAAACCTACAGCAGGATAAGAGGGTGAAGGCCCTAACTTCCTATGAATTATCTACCAAATGATGATTTCCTCAAAGATAATTGAAGTTGGCTATATTGGCACTTCATAAAAATGACAGTTATAAGGCTTACAGAAATAGGTATATTTGCAAAATGAAAATAGCTTTTGCTCAGAAATATGCTAACCTGACATTTAGTCCATAATTCTACAGTGCTTCACTGGCCAAATGCCTACTAGCTGAAAGTAAATGAAACTTTGCTTCTATAAATATTGTGAAAGCTTGCACATCTCTATTTTTCCCTATGGGCTTTGGGCTAATGTTTTGAATACAGATTATTTAATTCTTAGACTAACACGTGTAAAATATATGAGCTTATATGAGATCTCAATCTATGTGTCATTTGATTGTGCAAATTGATTAGGAAGGAATGAATTGCACTTATGAAAATGTCAAATTTTACCCATCACATTTGCGTATATCATTCCGAAGTTTGAAATTCAGATTTATCAAAAATATACAGCATCAATTATCAAGGCCTAAATCCCATTTTGAAAGCAAGCCTCATGTTTCGGTTGTGTCCACTGGCAGTTTGTTTTTGTGCTGGCAGATGTGTCTGTGTTCTGGTTGGTGCTTAGAAACGGTTTCTTGTGCTCTTGCATCTCATCGCCACAGCAACCGGCACTCTTTGGTGCTTCACTCACCACACAGAGGACATGCAAAGGGAACAATGCTGCCCTTTGAAATAGCATTGTTGGAGACACCAGAGACAAACAAGAGGAACTCCACTTCCGCAGGAAGCATGCATCTGGTCACAGTTCATTTCACTCTGTACCTTCCAGGGGAGTGCACCAGTGTTGAGTCATTCACAGTTGGAGAGGAGGAGAATGAAGCATGGAGAGAATGGAAAAATGAGAGAAAATGAAACCTGTGCTTTCATTTTGTTCTCTCTGAGGGTGGTCTATTCCCCCCCCCCCCCCCCAATATTTTTCTTAGTTGCAGGGAGATTAACATTTAACACAGATTTAAGCAACCTATTCTGGCATTATTTCCTGTGTGAATTTCTTGTCCTGGCAGTAAGTAAACTACAGTGGCTGGTTTCAAACACTTCTGGGAGGAAAATAAATCAGATTAGAAGGATCAAATTTTCACTTCTGGATTCCCTTGTGCCCTTGCCATTGAGTGGTAGGAACCAGTCAAAAGATGTGTTAGTTTAGTTGTTGGACAGAAAGGTAGGGCAACACAGAGACCTGGGTTTCCTTCTCCCATGGTTGCGATTAATGTCCCCCTGGAAGTTGCACTGTTAGCTAATAGCAGGCTTTTTTCACTCTCCTGCTCGGCTCATCCTTCCATCCTCCCAACCCTGCCACTGCCGTTGGTACATGACCATGGCCTCCTGCCAACCTACCAGCCTTCGATCCTTCAGTTCCGACAGGTCTCACACCCTGAGCCATGCCTCTTACCTGAGGGACAGTGCCATGATTGACGACACGGTTGTCATCCCCAGTCATCAGGTACGTGACTTTTCACTTTGACGTTTCAACTTTCTGGAGAGCTTTTGAACATTACTGGTTGCTGAAGATGTCCAGAGAAAGTTTTTTTTGTGTAAAGAAAATCCTTTTAATGTGGTTGACAAGCTAGGATAAGAGTCTGAGGACTTTTCCAAAGTGATATGCTGCATGTTAATTCTTCTGAGGAAATTATACATTAAATCGATTTCTTCATAAAATATCTGTTAAAGGAAAAAGTGAGATAGGATGCATTTAAGGTATAAAATGAAAGGTACAGGTAAAGATATTATATTTACCTTATATTTAAAATTGTTTTCAGTTCCCAGAAAACAGGGAGAGGCAATTATGGAATATTTTAATCTTAGATGTGATTTTATCAGTTTTGGCTGGTTGGATATAGAGAAATAGATGGGAATACCTATCTTTAAAGACAATTTCACAAATGTGGTCTTATGTCAACAGTGTAATTTAAATGGGAATGCATTATAAAACATACATTTTAAATGACTTGGTCTTATATTTTTAAATGAAAAGGTGGTAATACCACTTTCCTGTGATACTTTTTAGAGTTCATTATATTTTATTCACTTGGAAGAAAGTATTTTTGTTAAATCCCGTGTTCTTTGTATTTAGGTGTCAACCCTAGCCAAGGAAGCAGAAAGGAATTCTTATCGTCTCAGCTGGGGCACTGAGAACTTAGACAACGTGGCTCTTTCTTCCAGCCCTATTCATTCAGGGTGAGTAAATCAATATTATGTATCCAGATCGAGAGGTAAAAAGAGATGAGCTTGAAAATAACAGCTTTGTCCAGTAGCTTTAGCTGATGGCTAGCTTACAGGGGAAATGACCTTTGTTTAAACTTGTAAATAACATTGCTTTATCCAACATGGACTCGATCTACACAAACAAACCTGCCCAAAGAGTTGAATTCAGCATAGAAAAACTGACTGTTGTTTTAAAATAACTAGTAGAATTGCGTCAGACAGCTTGCTAACTAACCAGGATATACCAGTGGCCTCCTTACTGTTCACATTTTGTCTGAAAGATGTCTTTAAAAAGAGGGACAGGATCACTTGCTTTCTAGAAAGTTCTGTTTTTCTAAGGTTAACGGACTAGTTTAATAAATGCCTTTCCTCACATATTCACGCATTTAAAATAATGTTTACAGACGTTTGGATCACACAGATAGAAGAGTTCATATACTGTTTGAAGTAGGGGTGTACCAAAAAGGGAAATTTTAATGCAACCTGTCAGGTTCTCAGTCACCTTCTAAAAGTTATCCAGATAATATATAAGTCATTATGCATGAAATGCTGCCTCTTTGTATAAACCCATTAAAAAGTAGGATTACTTAGAGTTAATAATTTTGAACATACTTAAAGATGTTCGTAAGATGTAAGAATTCAGTTATGCAGAAAATAATTTGCTTAAGGAGTTTTAAATTGTTTCACTCTTTGCAAAAGATTATTCCCTTACATTTTGGTAGTTTCAATTTGTATAGTAATTTTATAACTACATAAAAGCTTTAAAAATATTTTTCATTTAATCATTTCCATTTTCATTTAAAGAAGCCTCACTTGTATTTTATCTGTGCAATACTTTAATATAAATTATTATCCCAAACTCCTTATCCATAATCCCTGGAACTATTTTGAGTGGTGGATCCTTTCTTATTTTTATTATTCTAAAATATTCTTCTTTCAGAAAAGCATTCGAAGATACTGTAGTTAAAAATTTGGGATCTTGTAGTCTAATTTTCTACTACAGGCTCATAGAATTTAAAACTAGTTACATAGATATTGAAAATAATCATAATATTCTTTTCCTTTTTAAATAAGTAAAAGGCAGTTCCTGATACAAGAGTTATTTCAAGTGAATAAAAACCAAGTTAAACATCATCCAAATTTACTAACTTTTTTTAGGTGTAAAAGAGATAATTAAAGTCTGACAGCTATCATTATTCTAAAGACATAACATTACATTCTTCTACCAGATTTCTCAACAATGCTAAGGAGGAAAAGAGTCTTGGACCTAGAGTACTGAAGGACAATAGATCAGAATCTAGAAATCACAATAAAATATTTGAAGTCTATACCAGCCTACAAAGTGACAAGATTATTTTAGGCAAAGTGTGATTAAATATCAATAGCTGAATTTACAGGAGTCAAAGTGTTATGGTAGTACTTCAGTTTTCAGAATAAATAATTTACTTTAAAAAAGGAATTCCTTAAACCTTTTAACTACTGAAGGGCAATAAACTATTCAGCTTAAGTACATCAGTATACACACCAGTTGTATAAAACTAGAAACATGACGTAAGTAATTCTAGTTAATTACTTATGATGAAACAAGATCATCCACTGGTTAAAAATTAACCACTTATTAAGATAAGGATGTTTAAACTCTTGGTCTGTAATAAGCCAATTTTTCTATAAACTTCAAACATGATCATTGATTCTAAACAATTTTCAACGCTGGCTGTACATTAGAATCCCCTCAGAGCTTTAAAAAATACTGATACCCAGGCCCCCAACTCAAACTAATTACATTTAAATCTCTGTTGTTGGGGTCTTAGCATTGGCATTTTCTACCAGCACCAGTAGTCCAAATATGTCTGTTTTATATATAAACTGTTAGAAAGGAACAACTTTGCCTAATAAAGCTTTGATTACCAGGGAGATCTAGGTAATTAACATACACCTAGTTCTCTCAAATGTTTTTTTATCCCTTTCATTCACTTATTTATTCTTCACACATTGCTGAATTCTACAAAGTACTAAACCTTGTGTCAGGCACTAAGGAAAATAGATAATTAAGATCTAACCTCTACTTTTAAGAAACACACCTCTCTGTTGTTTTTGAAGTTGGAAGACAATCAGTGGAAGGCAGATAACATGTTGGTTATTCAAACACCAACCAAAGTGTGCTTTGGAGTCAGACCAATCAGAATTCAGTTCCCAGCCCTGACACTGGGCAAGGACACTGGGCAAGTTATGTAAAATATCTATTTACATAATTTATCTATAAGTTTCAGTTTATAAGATGAGTGTTATATTATGGATCCCATAAGGGAGCTTTATGGATTCCATGCCTCTTAAATAATTAGCATTTTGCCTTGAAAGAATACGTACTCAATAAATTATAGCTATTAGTATTTATATAACCCTCATATACACCTTCTAAATCCTTCACAAATTTCAAATAAGTTAAGCAGAATGTATTCAGAATACTTCAAGTGACAATACCACTCTGGTATAATTCATAATGGTAATATTTGACTTGTTATTTTTATTAGGTAATATCTAGTGAGGTCTCTAGAATTTGAATGCAATGCCACAGATGACTCTAATGGGATGAGTAATTACACTGAACACAAGGATTTTGAGTGTCATGGTATTTGAAAGCTACCATGATATTAAAGGATATGAATAACATTCATTATATCATATCATCTATAATTTCTCTTTTTCATTTTGTTCATTATACACCAGGCACCCGTGTAGTCATTTTTATATAGTTTTTAGGGAACTAAGTTTTTAATTGATAGGGAGAATTCTTAAGTCACTTCCAAATCTGCCCAAAATGTAAGGAATAGTTGATTTTTAGATAAAGGGGATAATAAAGTCAGCGTTTTTTTTGCATATGCCTCTAATTTTATGTATAATGTTCTATTTGATTCCATAAAGGGCTTTTAGATTAATAGAAGACACACTTTCTACCAAAAGTAGTATTAGTAATTTTCTTTAACCTCTGCTCTATTTTTCCAATGACTAATGTCCATGACTACAAAAGAGTAGGTATCAGTGCTTAAAAAAAAAATCTGCACCCAGTATATACAGCCAATATCTGGCGAAAGAAAGGCTGACAGTAATATTTTTGTTGCTGTTCTTTGGATCGTGTTACTGATTCACAATCTAAACAGTCATTTCTAGCAAGACCAGTCATGAGTATACCAACATAAGCTTGGGCAAAGAATTTGAAGTTTTTAATTCTCCTCCATTTCATAAGTGCATAATGAATTAACAAATAAGGCACAGTTTCTAGTAATAGTTTTGTGATTCATTTTAAATGTTATTATTTCAGTGGTATTATTTTTATAGTCCTTTAATGACAGCCAATGCCAACAATTAAATGCCACTTCGTGATGTTATGCTCAAATATATTACAGGAGCTACAAACCTATAAGAGAGTGATCTTTTAAAGGACTCCTTTTTCATTAAAACATGGTGACAATTTTGCTGTGAATCTGAAACTACTCTAAAAAAAAGTCAACAAAAACATTTATGAAGGTAATTAGCTCAAATAGTGGAAGGTGACATTAGAAAGGCAAGGAAATCAAGACTGTTTCTCATTTGACAATATTTATCAAATTCCTATAGCAGTTAACTTAGTTGTTTATGTATTTCAGACAACCCAGTTTCTTAAGGTACATGAGGGTAAATTCTTTTGGATGAAGACAACTATTTCTGAGTGGCAGAACAACTGTTTTGTAAGGCTGGATTTCTGGTCCATTAAACATGTATCCCTTTGTATATTGTCAAGTGTTGAAAACACAAGTGAATCATATGAAAACTTATGGAGGGTTTTGTGGAAAAGCAGACTCAGGGTGAAGAGGCATGAAAGGACTAGAAAATGGGATTAGACAGTGTGGCCAGTGAGAACAGTAAACCACAAATCAGGGAATGAAAGTCTTGAAAAAAGCATAGTTTTTTGTTACCTGCTAGTAGGTAATTAATGTTACCTGCTCTACCTTATAGTTGATGCTACTGTTTGTCATTGAAGCTATTTAAATTGTGCCTTTTCTGCTTGCATTTCTTTGGAAGAAGACCAAAAGGGCATTACCATTATTTTGAAAGTATTAAAAGTATGACTGAAAAGTTTGGAGACTATGTCCATCAAATCAAAGACTGTGATTTTTATTACAGTGCCCCTTGGTGTTTGGCAACTTCCCTGGGACACTCAGACTTTGTTACATGACCTTCCCCCAGCCAGTGTTGAATAAGGCTACAAATCGAAATCCAGTGATTTTATCACATCCCCAGTTCCCTGAACTGGGAGTCACTGCGAACCCCCATACCTTGCTCTTCTCTCCGCATTTGCATAGAGCTATATTTCATTTGTATTTCCATCTTTTTTCAGTGAATACTGTATTGGTGTATAAGTAATATATTTCGGTTGAAAGTCACTTCTGATTTCCTTCTTTATATTTCACTTTATCCATTCCTTCTCTGTGCTAAAGTATCTATTCTGTTGCAGCCGCATCTCTCCATGTCTTGATCGTGACAACAGCAGGTGAACTTCTGCATAATTCCTTCTCTGAACATGTCGCCTCCTCCTCTCCCCCTTTCACCATCTCCTTCTGCATATACCCCATCTCAGGATGCTTTAGTGTGAAGATACCTAGCCAGAGAGAGAGAGATTTATATTCTCCAAATTGTGATCATTTCTGAATTCTCTTTCTCTGGGGTGAAAGGAAAGTGGGTATTTTTTTTTTTCCTTTGGAAAGTAGGTGGGGTTGCACCACAATTAATGTAGAGCTACTGTGAGAGCCTGTTTTGGACCTGAGTCTCCACATCTCTACTTCTTTGGTGAGAAAAAGTGCTACATAGAGCTGAAGAATGTTATTTTCAGCTTTTATGCAAGTTGGTTGAGCTATTTTAGTTATATTGTAGGTTATGATTTTAAGTGTCACTTAGCAGGGTTTTTTTTTAACTATATTCTAGGCGAACCAAAGTCTGAAGATTTATTAATAGGGCATTTCTTTGCTAGTACTGCTTTAAGTGCAACCTTTTGATATTTTGGAAATTGTGCTATAGAATGATTCTAGCCAGTTTTCTAAAAATATCTATTCTTCATTATTTCAATAAAGTTATTTTTAAAGGTTCTTATCAGACTACTGATTATAGTATTTTTATTGTACAGTAATTCACCATGATACCACAGCTTGTCTACAAATAAGACAGTTTATTTTCCAATTTTGGAATTCAAAATTTCAAATCCATCCTTTTACTTTTTCTGAAACACACAGTAAATATTCTGTTTCTACATTTGAACGTTGTGAGTGATAAATAATTGGAGATTTTTTACAAATTGGAGCCAATTTTTTTTCAAAGCGATTTTCCACCAGTTTTTCAGCCTATGGAATTTGGAGAAGTAGGAAGGAATTAAGGGAGTTAGAGAGGAGAAAGAGCTCACGATATTGTTTTCTCCCATAACCCCAGAAATCAGATTTAATTTAAGGCCCTCTTGCTATGTATATGTGGATCACTGAAGCACCCTGATGACTTTTTTTTTTTCCCTATTTTCACCCAGTAACTAACTCTGAATGCTGTTAATTCCCTGTCCCCACCCCTGGATGAATTAAAAGTGAACCTAAGGATTAGTAACTTTTGGGGTGGAGGATGTAGTCCTCAAAAGACCAGAGTCATTGTTTTCTGCTGCCTCCTCTGAAGCATGTACCTGTTTAGCTAATCAAATTGTGTATTTGCAGGTAAATCATCTGCATAATAATGGTGGACTGCTTTTGCTTTTATTCTTTTTAAATTGTGATAACACTGTATCTCACAATTTAGAAAACTTCAGAAAGACTTTCTGTTTTGCATGATTGCTGAATTTCATTTGGAGAGTAAGATATGCAATTGAAGCTGAGTATATTCTGTGATAAATTTTGTCTGTACAGTCTTCAGTCAGTGTTCAGTGGAATGTGCGTACACATTTTCTCCAAAACTGTTCGTTGACTGTTTTAAGCATACAGCGAAATAATCTATATTTCTTGCAGTAAAAGCAGTTTATTTTCCCAATAAAAATTCTTACAGAGCGTCTGACGTGAAACATTTCAGTAGGTTTCCAAACTTTAGTTAACAGGAAATGGTACATAGAATTTTAACACCAGCTCACTTTAGAGTTTATTTAGCCGAATTCTCTCATTTTGTGGATGAGAAACTTGAGGGCCATGGTTACAGCAGTAATTCAAACAGAGATAGATTTAATGATAGATGACACATAGATCCAGGAAAGAGCAATGTACTTGCTCCATTATCTTGTGCCCTGTGATAATAGCTTACTCAAACAGTGAAGTTCATAAACTAATAAAAACTCCACCATTGTATTAAACTGCTTTAGCAAGTTTCCATGTTTATTTTAAATATCTGATAAAAGTTAGTTTCTCTGTTTCTTAGGTGTTGCATTATATTGCACTGTAGTTTTTATGACATTCGAAATACAAAATCATATGGGTGTAGGGAATGGAAAAGGATGGCAACAAGCCTTTACTGACTTCTAAATGCTTTACCCACTCATGATTTAATCCATGCTACACCCTCGGTGGTAATACGATTCTCCCTCATTGAGACAAGGCTTAAGTATTTTTTTTTTTTTAATCTTTATTTTTGAGAGAGAGAAAGAGAGAGAGAGAACGGGAGAGGGACAGAGAGAGGGGGAGACACAGAATCCGAAGCAGGCTCCAGGCTCTGAGCTGTCAGTACAGAGCCCACGTGGGGCTCGAACCCACAAACTGCAAGATCATGACCTGAGCCAAAGTGGGACACTTAACTGACTGAGCCTCCCAGGTGCCTCACAACAAGGCTTCAGTCTTAAAGTTCACAAACAGCAGGGCTGAGCTTCAGTCCATATACCATCTCCTCTGTACATATTCAGTTATATGTTTTTACTTCTATTCCTTTTACTTCCAAATGTTTACAGTATTATCCCATTTTTGATCTCCTGAAAATATGAGAAAATCCTATTTATTTAATTAACTCTAGTATGTGAGCTGATTCATCTCATGACTCATACCTTCCAGGTTTTCACTTTTTCCTGTGGTACAAAAAAAAAGTGCATGGTCTCTTACAGTCTGTTTTTTACACTGCAGAATAGCTTTACTAACTCTACTACCTATCCGAATAGTGAAACCTTTTGGTATTCTGGTATTTTTAATATAAGTGTTCAAATGCTTACCCAATTTTATATTAGAAATTGTTGGGATTAACGAGCATGTTTTATCTAAAAGACTTTTCATTGGCACTTGAATTAGTATTTCTCTTATTCCCTCTCATTTGAAGAAAAGACTTCTTTTAGTATACAATTCTGCATATTCGGCTTTTTTATTAGTGGGTATTCCACAGTTATGTTATTTGAGTCTGTAGACTATAGAGTAAGTTCTGTAGACTTTTTTCTTGCTGAATTTATACACCTTTTTATTCATTCTGACTACTACTGTTTAGTTCTTTCATGTCTTCTCTTCTTTCCGTTTCTCTCTTGACCTCTTTCTGTTTTGCTTTCTTCTCAATTCTCCTGCCTCTGTCTCTCTCCCCCTCCTGCCTTCCCTTTCCCTCTTCCCCTCCTGGAAAGCCCCCTCCCTAGCTCTCTGGCAAAAGACAATTCCCTCCCCAGAGCTTGTCATTTTAGGTTAGTCTTGCTACCTCCTTTAGTTAGTTGAGAAAGACACAAAGGCTTGTTTTCTCTGGAAATGTTATTTTTCTTTTCTCTGAATTATGCATATTGACGCTTTAATTTCCCCAATTTGCTTTGGTTGGGTGCAGTACTTAAGTATTACTTCCCAGATCTATATAAACTTAAATTTATCTACTTGCAGCTTTAGCCTTTAAGTTCTTTTATTTTGATTTCCCAATCTTTGGTCTGTCTTCATGAAATGTTCACTCCTAATAAAATCGTTGACTTTGTTATATTCAAACTCTTGATTTTTGGTTACTCCCATTTTCTCCTAATCATCTACCAAGGGAAATAAATCTATGAAGTCTCTTATTTGGGGGCAGGAAAAGGCCTATAGAAGAATATTTAACATTGAGTATAGTCCTTCCCAACTATTTTGCTATTTTATGAGCTGAAATATCTGGGTGTAGTAATTTGAATGAGTTCTGACTGGATTGGTTGTCCAGAGACCAAATAATTGAATTACCTTCACTTTTGCTGCCTTTTCTCTCTATTAGATATAAATAGATACAAGTCCTTACAACTTGCTCTTTTCATTCTTCCATTCACTCATTCAACCATTAGTTATTGATGACCTATGTGCTCCATCTACATTGTTCTAGGCATTGGGAGAACACAGGAAGAAATTGGAGGAGCAAGGTCACGCCCAATATGGTACTTACATGGCTCCTGTATGTGGTTATAACTCACTTCTTATTGACCAGGAAACTAAGTGATTCTGAGTAAGCAAAACCATCATGTGAAACCTGGGGCTTAGACTATGAGCATCTTGGCAGGAGCAACTGTATTTTTACTACCAGTATCCTCAGTTCCAAGCAGGGCACCTGGCACTCAGTAGGAGGGAAACAAACATTGCATGCTTCTCATGCATGGGAATGGAAATTATGGAGTAAATAGAACAAAAGAAGATTTCAAAAGGAACAGTCAATGACACAAAATCAGACAAAGTAATCAAACGTTGTTATGGAAACATTGCCGCTAAGAACATAGCTACTTCAATTCACTTTTTTAGAAGATGCACCACCAGAAGATATTTAACATGTTTTTCTAGATAGGGACATCTGATAGGTCCTAAGTCATCACTGAAATACATACATGGGAAACACAATAGCATATAACATGAGGTGGAAATTCCCTAAATGGCTTTATAGGTACAAATAATATTCAAGACTGATAATATTAAGTGGATATATTCTAATAAGTTCTTATGGGTTTGAGTCCCTGTTCTATTGTTCAATGGTGACAGTAATCAAAAGATGAAAAAATTTAAAGAAGGTAGAGAAAGTCAGAAATATTGCAATGCATTTGGAACATTTGGAATATTTCAGCTACTAGTTGAAACTTAGTGTTGCCTCGTTTTTATAAAAATTGACATAAATATCATTGTCAAATAAAAATAATATGGAGAAGAAACTTTTGTATTCATCTAGAAGTGTTACCAGTTTTTCTTTAACTTTTAAAGAAAATGTTTATTTTGAGAGAGAGAGAGTGAGCACAAGTGGGGGAGGTGTAGAGAGAGAGGCAGACAGAGACTCTAAGCAGGCTCCACACTGTCAGTGCAGAGCCCAGTATGGGGCCTGATCCCAGGACTGTGAGGTCATGACCTGAGCCCAAATCAAGAGTCAGACACTTAACTGAGTGAGCCACCTAGGTGCCCTGAAGTGTTACCAGTTTTACATCCTTTTGAGCTATAGAACATTGTAAGAAACAAATAGAAAATAATTATTTTTAAGAATTCATAATTAGACAAGTAGTAAGAACAGCAGCCAACATTTTTTTTTCATTTTGTTTTGATAAAGCCCAGAAACATCTATTCTTGAGTACTGAACAATTGATTACGCTACTCAGTTTTTGCCCTATACTAAAAACTTAGGGGGTTGGGTGTGAGGGGTAGTTCTAGGCTGGCTCCTGCATGTGAGAAGGACAGTGACAGTTCTTGTGGTCTCGTCCTGCATGATGTGCTTCAGACAGGCACTCCAGGCTCCCTCACATCCATTTTTATTACTAGCAACAGGATTTCTGTTTAATAGCATGCTTAATGAGTTCTGTGTTCTGCTATGAGGAAGATGCTAACATATTTCCATCACTTGTCTAAAAATAACATCAATGTATTGTGTTTCTATCCTTACTTCAATGAAATACCTTTCAAATGTTTTAAGTGTCATCATGGATGTGATATCTAGATACGGTGAATCTGATGTAGTTCTGTGCTTGTTAAGATCCATAATACACCTGTATGTTGCTTTCCTTTTTTTGTTTTGGTATATAAAGTCTTGCAAATGTGATGAAAATTGGGAAGGATAGTAATGTAATCTGTATAAGGGTGTACACATTGTTTGTGTCTTTGTGTATATGTGTACAACACTCAGATTACCTGGTGTAATTTTTGCTGCTTAATGAAACAAGTACCTCCAAGACTTTAATGAGTGTTAGGACTATCAGGGTGACAATAACTCGCACTAAGCTGTAGCAGGATCCTTTAAGACCATCCCACAGGAAGCAACTTCAAGGTTAAAACTAATCCTTTTTCTTGGTACTCTTAAACAGAATCGTTTGGATTATAGTTCTTTTATTCAGGAACAACTCATTTGGCAGAAAAGGAGCAAAATAATAGGAATAGGAGCATTTACATTTCTAAATTATTAGCTGTGATTTTCCATACACAGCTTACTATACTTTGGGGAAAATCATGATGCACAGATCTCTCCCATTAGCATGAGCCCAGGGTTTCCCACTTCAAAACACAGAGTAGAGATGATTTGTTATCTTATTTCCCGCCCACCCCATCTTTGCTTTAGTTACAATGGTATGGCAGAGGCATTCCTACTTAAGAACTGAAAAAGCGCATGTGAACCAGTAAACTCATTCTATCCAAAACGTTTAGTTTTTCCTTCTCCTTTAGAATGCAGTAAGTTAAATACCTGCATCCTGGGTAAGACGACGTTAGAGCAGGATGCATGTACATGGGTTTGATCTTGGGAAAAGCCCTGTGAATCTTTTTTTTTTTTTTTTTTTTTTTTTTTAGGTCATAGAATTAAAGTGGGGTGGGCAAGATGCAATTTTGAAAAGTCAGGTTGAATTAACTTAGAAAAAGTGCAATTTGATATTTATTTATTTATTTATTTATTTATTTATTTAGGGAACATGTAGGGGAGGGGCATAGAGAGAGAATCCCAAGCAGGCTCTGTGCTGTTAGCGCAGAGCCTGACATGGGGCTCAAACTCACGAACCATGAGATCATTACCTGAGCCGAAATCAAGAGTTGGATGCTGAACTGACTGAGCCACCCAGGCACCCCAAAACCACAATTTGTTTTTTTCTCTTTATCCGTAAACTATGTGGATTTTTACGGATATACCTAGAAAGGAGAAGTCTTTACATTTACAACAAAAGAAGACTCACTAGTGTTCATTATATAATTTCATCCCACTTTCTTTCTGAGTTAATTGGACAGATTTTGAATTTATAGTTTGTATTTAACATCGGTATTGTCAACAAAAATTAGAATTCTTCTATAAAGATCAAAATAATACAAAAATGAAAACAATGACAAAACAGAAAGGCACTGGCATAAAGTAAAATAACTTTTAAAGACAAGTATTTTGCCACCATGCCAAAAAATAGAAATGAGAGTAAAGCTTTACGGGAAAGAATTAACTTGGCAAAGCTTGTTTATCTGGTTCCAATATTTCAAAACACAGCTAATCTTCTATCTTAATTTTTAGTTTCCTGGTTAGTTTTATGGTGGATGCCCGAGGTGGTGCGATGAGAGGGTGCAGACACAATGGGCTCCGTATCATTATTCCACCTCGGAAATGTACTGCCCCAACTCGAGTCACCTGCCGTCTTGTCAAACGTCATAGACTGGCGACAATGCCTCCAATGGTGGAAGGAGAAGGCCTGGCCAGTCGTCTGATCGAAGTCGGACCTTCTGGTGCTCAGTTCCTTGGGTAAGGGTTTCTGATAAACCTCCCACTTAGTCACGGATGAGCTTGTGTCCTCTACATGAAATCACTAGGATGGAATGGAAAAAGGTACGTCAAA